TATATATATATATATATATATGTGTGTGTGTGTGTGTGTGTGTGTGTGTGTGTGTGTATCCTAAAAGTGATTAAATTAGCACTTGGGGATTAGGAAACCTTTTTTAAATTGTCGTTTATGAATCAGTACCTCGCTTATTACGGAGCTCAAATTTAACATCTACTGCACATGGTTGTTCATGACCACTACACGGTAGCAAGTGGGGCATGCAGCAAAACACCTCCACCCAGTTATCCAACCCACTTCATAAATAAATGCCCCTAAAAGTAAAATGGAGTGACAGAACTACAATAAAACTGAGCAATCTAACATGATTAATCGAAAACTCCATTCATTTGTTTCTATCGTTACTGTTTCACTCAGAGTAGGTCATGGATTAGGAAAAAAAAAGGCTCTCCAGTAGCCTAATAATTACTTTTTGTCATGAAAAATCTTTCCAAGACACCAATATGGCACTGGGCGCTTTCATAATCTGACTCAGAATACATCAGTTGCCTGCAATCTTTAAAAATACAAAGATATTTTTCAAGTTGCATCTCGAAGGTTTCCAGTATGTATGCATGTCAATCTCAACCTTTTACATGGACAGAGCTTCTAAACCTCCGCCAAGCTTCAATTCCATATCAAAGGTAAAATTCTTACATTTGACTTCATTAAACCCACAAGTGGGAGAACCAGATATCATTATTCAAATGAGTTTGAGTGGTTGACTTTTTTGGGAGGAGCTACAGTATTATACAATCATCAAGACCAGTGACAAGCAGAGATCAAGCGAGTGCTTCAATAAGTTAATGTGCAAATATACTCTTTGCTTTGATAATTATTGTATCAAAGTGTTGGCTAATGGTAGGGGTCTTTGGGGTGCTAGGAAATTGAACCATTTTCAGGGCAGGCCTTGGCTTCAGTAGTCGTGGTTGGTTTTGGGGGCCAGTCGGGATCGACGCTGAGCTCCTGGGCCAGATGCATGTAACGAGCCTTGTGAGTCATCTTGCTCGGGCAGCACAGACACTTGTGTGCCGACAGCTCAATGCCTTTCTGAAATGTCAACAATCCAACACATAAATAAAATACTCATTTCAGAAAATGCAATAATATGGGGGAGATTTCATTCACCAATGTCACACATTGTGGAGTTTTTCTAAAATATTTCTACTCACGGGAGATAGAGGCATACTCATTTGCATGCAACATGAAACTTTTATAGGAATGCATGATTCTTTTTAAAAAATATTGCCCAAAACGATCAAATTGTACCTCTTAATATCCTGGTGCATGTCAAAAAGAATCAAACTGGAAGTTAATTTATTTCAATTTAAAATGTGAAACTCTTCATGGAGTAACTACAAAGAAAAATAGTCTGTTTTTATAATTCCGATGAGAACATCTTAAACAACACCCAAATTCACTATTTCAAGATGTTACAATATTAATGTTAATCTAAAAATAGTTAGGAATTGACCTGAAAAGTAAACAATCTGTACTGAAATGAACCTTTCCAGAATATCTTAATTGAGATGCACCAGTATACTTTACAACTAGTGTGCAATGCATTGTGGGCTGATGACGTTTGCGGGTCACTCAGCTGTAGCTTGTTCACGACACACACTATAAAATGCAAGGAGAGTTAAGTAGTCAAACAAGTGGAAGTGGACAAAGAGAGCTCCTTGCTTTTGAAAACTCCCCTACCCAAATGCATTTGTCTGCAGAAAAAAAAGCCCAAACAAGTGTCACACAGAGCCAGCACTATTGTTTAACTAAAAAAACAAACGCCAAGTCCTAATTTATTGGAAGTTGCCCGTGGAGTGATAAGGCACCTCAAAAAGTCACGTCAACCCGTTAAGTAGGATAGTATCTCAAATGTTTACAACTTTATGTGATTGCAAGAAACAGTCACTCGTAAAGTTAATTCTTCCTGTTTTCTTGAATTGTTTGAAGGCCTTCAAAAGTCATCAATCTGAAATGCATTGTACATCAGTAAGACAGTCTTGATTTCTGTAAATTGTACCTATAGTAGATAATGAAAGCAATATTTTGGCCGATTGCATATTGTTTTCCTTTTGGACCATCTCATAAATACATTTTGTAACGCTTTAGGCAATATGCGCCAGACTATTTCACTACAATAGATTTGCATGCACTTAATAACAAAATTGACAATTTACTGTGAGATTTTTTTTGTCTAACACAACCTGTAAAACTCCCCAAAAAAAAGCATGTGGAGTAACAGATAAAACTAAAGATTTTCACAGCAGACCACACATTAAGCAAATGAGTCAAATATGAACATATTGGTGAAGACATTGATGATTAGCCTTCTTCAAACACACATTTCACTCAGGTGGCAAGACGGGTAACTGACTGTTGAGAGAATTCGGTAAGCACCCGATATAAGGAGTGAAGAGGCAAATGCAGCAAGTAAAGCTTTGAGGCTAGCAAGTTGCAACGAGAGGGGCAGCAGACTGAGGGAGCAGGAGGGGTAGGCAATTATAAACTCAATGGGGGAAAAGGCCTTGGTAAGATGACCACCGGAATGTTATTACTGTTGATCACGATGTGCCAAAAAGAAAACAGGGAGAGGGAACACCACACACAAGAAAAATTAAAGGGCTACAATAGTAGATGTCAGTATTTCCCAACCTGTGGTGGTGGGGCAGCAGAAGCGATGCTCTGCTTGTCTCTGCTGAACACAAACTTCCATAAGACGGTGTCAATGATGAAGGTCTGTGGCGCAGTGGGCAGGGGACAGAATTACAGAGAGGCTAATTTGATTTGCATGTAGTTTTCATTTTTTTTTTCTCCCGGGTCTCATTATGTGTTTTTTTTTCGTTTATTATTGCAATGAAGTCATAATTTTGGACAAAAACAACCAAGAGGAAAATATGCGGATGTATAAGCTCACAAACGAAGACAATTAGCACAATTGTTTGATCAAAAGTCAAATGATTTTGTTTTGATTTTCTTGTCAAAATCTGTTAGCAAAACAGTAGCATTGAGGTTGTATGCTAAGCACGGCGCGTATGTAAAGGCAGCCAAGAGTTAGGAAGCTCAGTTATAACTGCTGCACTGAGTGAAGGAAGAATGCACAGACTGTCCATTGTCATGCACTTTCAATAGTCATTGTTTCGACTGAAACACAATGTCTCTGATAAACATTGAGTAGTAGTCTAAAAAAGAACAACATATTTAAGCCATCCTGCTGTCAAGGGAATGAGACAAAGATGAGGACACTGCATGAGAAATAAACAAAAAAAAAGAAGTCTTCATGAGAAAACAATCATCTGTTACAATATCGATTCATGAATCTTACCTCAACCACAACAGACACGGCAGCATTGACGGCGATAATAAGCAGAAGTTTTAGTCTCCAATCAAGAGGAACGCAAACAATCTATGAAGAGCAAAACAAAAATGCTTAAACAAACAACTCCTTCCTTCTGTGCAATCTGATATTCTTCACGCTTTTACCTGGAGAACTTCATCAATGGCTTCAGCAGGGTAGAACATGTTGGTGAGGAGGAAAATATACAAAATCAAAGCAGTCAAGACAAACGGCCCTAATGGAGCATATAAAAAAAAAATACTGTTACGTAAATGTCCAATTTTTTACAATTTGTTCGTGTATAGAACCGACAAATCATACAATTCTTGTAGCTCGGCTGCCTAAAAGGTTTGCCCTTTGAGAAGACAATGGCAACCAGAAGGTACTGGAAGCAGGAAACATAGAAAAGGCTGGTGTTTTCATAATTTTGAATGTTGTGGTCATCAACTTCAGTTTCGGTGAGGTTGGACACATTTGTGTGTGACGATACGTTGCAGGCACTGCAATAACAAGGAAATAGCCACTGAGCCTTAAAAGGTGAAAATTCTAACCACAGTTATATCATTGTTTTATACGTTCAACATTCTAAACAATAAAAGACTGACAATCATTTTCCAATTCAAGTGGACACATTTTGCACTCTTTCAAAACAACATTTTAACGTTTTTCCAGCACTTTAAAGCTGTGGTAAATTTCATATTGTGTCAAGAACACCCTGATCATGAGTGATGTCATGTTCTCACTCTGAAAGCGGTGTCCAGATGGTGTACCAGGGCTGGAGTTGGACCCAAAAAAATGCAAACAGCTGGAAGCCAAAGCAGATGAGGATCTGGCTCAGCACAGACAAAAGCAGAGGCCCTGAGATCAGGCCTGATGGAGGAGGATGTGCAACTAGTTCTTTCCATGCCGGGTTTAGACTCACTGAAAAGGGAGAAATCAGCCAGCAATAAATGCTAGTGTTCATTTTCTTACATCCAATTTCTCCAAAACTTACTGGTGAAAACAACGACAAGGATGATGGCTATATCGATGAAAAGGAATTGGAAATCTCCCAGGTTACTGAGAATCTAAGGGGGGAAAAAACATTGTATGAAGCAATTCACCGCTTTTCCCATGAATCTTACAGGCAGGGGTACCATAAGAGCAAGAAAATATGATTCAAGGGGCTCATGGTAAACAGGGGCCCTCATACAGTATTTTCAATTTGCACCATTGAAGTGATGGGACCACAGTGTTTTTCATCACAGGGTCCCTGGCGGCACCCCTGCCTTTAGGCAGCTGATAGTGAGCAGAACAATATAACGTACAGAGTATAGGAGCGTGACACTAATGTACTGGATGATGCTGTAAAGGGCCATGAACTTGAACACGCAAAAGGAGGTGATTAGAGCAGCGCGGCCTTCCCTGTAAAAAGTCAGAGAGCACTTGTTAGTTCGCTATCACAGGCATGAAAACCCCCCAAAACTATTTAAATTAAGTAGATAACATTTTCAATTAGAAACCTACCTGATGAGGCTTGGGACACAAGAGATATTTGGTGTTCTGGAGGTGAATGGAGAAGCTACGGATGCCTCAAGCTCTGACAAAGAGATACCACTATGAGCCCTCTTTAAAGCCTGAGGGAAAAAAGCAGAATGGCAAAAATGTAGGTTGAATAAAATGTATGTTTACCATTGTCACTCTTTAGTTGACCAATTTAAAAGGCCTGTGACATACCCCGCAGTCGTTCGCTCCATCCCCGCACATCCCAACAAAGTAGCTGTCAGAAAATGACATTTCAAGAATGACTCTGTTTCAAAATTTACTTTACACTATCATCACAGATATTATAAATGTTATTTTCTCACTCCACATCCTGTAGTGCTTCAATGAGTTGGGTTTTCTGATCCGGAGACATTCTGGCAAACACTGTTCCATGGAGCACCAACTTTATGATGAAAATGAAAAAAATTATTAGAAATCAATCGTCTTCAAATATACAATAGTGACTTCTAATAAGGAAACACACCTTTGGAAGCATGTCTGGGAAATGCTCCGAGATGACCGCAAATGACTTTCCGCTCATAGCAAAATGGTACCGCTCTTGCTGTTTGGGCTCATCTATAGGACATACATCCTCTAGGCTGATATTCACTTCCTAAAAACAGTATAAAATGTTTTAATACATTTCACAGCTTTATTGGATTATATTAACATACAACTATAATTTGCATTTTTTTTACTGTCCTTAAGCAATGACATTTGGGCAGAAGCTACAATTTTGACAGAGAAATCATTGTCTGACGAAGCAAGACATTTGTGTGTTTTTGCAGTTGTCTAACCTCCAGATGTGCTGCCATACTCGGTTTGTCAGCACACCTCCAGGTGATTCTGGCAGTCTGTCCATCATGTGGGGCGATGGCATCTGAAATGATGACCGTGTCCTGTGGCAGGATCATTCCACAATCCCGAGCCACAGAGATGGCAGTCAGCATGTTATCTCCTAATAATGCATAGAATAAACATTCCAAGATTAATGTAGTGGTAGTAGAGGCATCCGGTTTTCATGTCATCTTTTTAATTTTTTTACATAAATTACTTAAAAAGAAAAGTGAAAACAGAATGCTGCTTGTTTTTTTTTTTTTTTGCTCTGGTGCTCTGTATAGTTGCCCAGCAGTTCATTCTTACCCGTAACCATGACAGTACGGATGTTGGCTCTGTGAAGATCCTGCAGTACGACCGGCGTTTCTGTTTTCAACTTATTCTGCATGATTATTAAACCCAGGAACTCCATGTTTGTCTCGATGTGATCTCTAGTTTATGAAAAGATATACATATACATGTTTCCACTCAGTCCAAAAAACGTTTTCCTTTAAATGAAATATAGTACAGAGCAGGGGCCACCAACCTTTTTTGCCCCACGGACCGGTTCATGTCAGACAATATTTTCAGGGACCGGCATTTAAGGTGTGGTGGAAATAATACAACAAAATAATATGGTATGAGCTTGATTTTCTGCAACCAGATGGTCCCATCTCGGGGTAACAGGAGACAATGACACCTCAAGTGTGTGGTTTATGTCCAGTCTACTTCGTAATTTTGTTTCCGTCGCCGTTGCTGCAGAAACCCCCCGCCTCACACAGGTAGGATGTCGGAAATAGCAACAGTGCTATTGTGGCGCTCTCAGAGTATTCAGCCATAACTTTAATCCAGTTGTCTCGAACGTACTTTTAAGGCCGCCGTCATTTGCGATCTCCAGCAGTTTTTTTTACTCATTTTGCGAGCTCCTGTGTTTTGTTTTGAAGTAATCGGTCACGTGACGGAGAAGCGTGGCTTGATGTGTGTCAAGTGTGACACAGACGGATGTAACGCAGAATCCGGTAGTTTTTCAAAATAAAACATCTTTCGTATTCCGAAATAAATAAAACGGAATTAAGGCAAGTTCTTTCTGTGCGGCCCGGTACCAAATGCCCGGTGGACCGGTACCGGTCCGCGGACCGGCGGTTGGGGACCCCTGGTATAGAGTATTACATGCTATGTTTCGAAGTACGGTTGTCATAGATGTTTGATTACTTAATTTTCAACAGTACAATAAAAATCAGGCTAAATTACAACTACCAATCCACAGTTTGTATTTTCCATATGGTAAAATTAAAAAAGGCACTATACCTGTTTATATTCTGGACCTTGTGCCACGTGAGTTTAGATTCAAGACGACGGTGAGCCAAAGCTATTACTCGGAAGCCTTGCTTGGTGTAGCCCTCCAAGACCTCAGCAAAATTATCTGGCACTACAAAACACAGTGAGATAAAGATGAGCATTGCAGTTTCAATTTAGGCAAGCAAGAAAAAAAAACCTAACAAAAAAATAAAAATTAAAAAAAGGCGGGGGTCGGGGGGGGTAGTACAGTAAAGGCTAGTGGAGATCATAGCCTGTGTCAATGTGTGTGTCATTATTACAATTGCCACAGCAACACTTTTTACAACACATTTTACTACAATCTCATCGTACTTCAAAGACGAAATGTTCACTGACATGGTAGGGAAAGTCTTGAGGGCTCACCTGTCTCTGTTTTGCAATGGCGTGCCACCACTTCTGGTGCCCCTTTCATGTAGGCATCCATACGTTTCTCCCCTAACAGACGAGCAACCACACTCATCCTTTGCAGTGCAGAGGAAAATGGAAACTGCCGCACGATACCTATCTCATACTGAGACTACACAAGGAAGGAACAAAGATTCAGATGTTTGTCAATTCCTTATGGCATGTCAGAAATGCAGAGTCAAGAGTCCTTTCATAGACCACAAATTACATATCCTGAGGTGCTAAACATCAAAAATTCTATCCAATTTGTCATGCAGAAATCCCTCAAATGTCAAAAGGCAGAAAGTTAAAATAAATCTCACTTCCATTGTTTTATAAAATTAGACTCCTGTCATAAGACATTTTATATGTTAATACTTCCTGGAGAAACTAGGAACAAGATAGCAAGAAGGAATTGAATAGATATTAAAAAATACACTACTTACCGACAGGTCATAAAGTTCCTAGAATGTGAAAAGGACAGACAAGACATCATTAAAAAGAATAATAACTTTTCTGCAAATGATTAAAGTTCCACTGGAAAATCGGACTGAATTCATCATTCTTAAATGTCATTACAATAGAGTACTGTTATATCTCCTAATCTTTGGGGGCTCCTTGGGATCTCTCATCACAATCATCACTCAAAGCAGCATGACTTACCATGTCATGCTCTGTTGATGAGGGCTGTGAGGGCAACAACTGTTTTGTGGGTCTAACCACAGTTGGCATGATACGATTGTGGAGCGCTGTTTCCTCCTCAGTGGCTTCCTCCAGAACCTGGGGAGAGGAAGTGGAATTTATTATTTAGATTTTAAAGTCTCTCTCTCATAATTGCATAATTATCCACTTCAGGCCAGGACTACAGCAATCTTGTCTTAACTGTCACAAAAGACAATAATCAGAGGGTCATTGAGGTGTTTGCGGTGGCATAATTACTTCTGTATACTGAACAATTAAAAGATACATATAAATAAAAGAATAATCATAAATACACTATCACTTTTGGAGCATTACAACGGTTGAGGGGACAATGTGCTAGGCTAGCCCCGTGTAAAAGTGGCTCATGCCCGCTGCACACACAGCAATGCGACTGAATGTGTCTGAGGAGAAACATACCAAAAACATAGTTGGCGACTCAACCTCGCACACCAAGCGATTGAGCACTGCAAATCTCCCGACAGTGCAAAATAACGACGACGACCCTGTATCGGGTATTGTTTCATCAAGATGGTCACAAAGAGAGGAAACAGTCGATAATGAAGAGAATGCGGGTATTTTGAGAGGCTGGTTGCAAAGATGGATCAACCCACTCACACTTTCAAGAACCAGAATAAAAACAAATGCTGTCCATGAGTGAACGGTGACAGCTACCTGCAGAAGAACGCTGCATCAGCGACTTGTTGTTAACATACATTGGAATTATCTTCAAAGTATTTTGCTTGTTTTCAACCTGTTTGTGCAATGTAACATCCAGCGAATATCCATAATGTTCAATATTATAAATGTTACGAGGGAACATTCGGTGATATTTATAACAAAATACAGACTGTCACAGCTGGCAGCTTTGCTTACGCACAGAACCCAGAAACACTTATTTGTCCCAGACACTTAATCAGCTGTTAGTGTCTGTGACGCGGAGACGGTTCTCAACGGGCAATTCAAATTTTGAATTGCATCAAAACCAGTGGCTGGCAGTCAGCCACTCATGAAACCATGCCCAACTCTGGTTTCAAACACATCACTCCGAATGACTTATGGACAACTGGAATATGGTCCCCATGGATTATTTCTAGTGAGAAAATGTATTGAACTGCATTCTGGGGCGTCCACACTTTTTCAGCACGGGAGCTACTTATAAAATGACCAAGTCCAATTGATCTACCCACCTTATTTATGTAAAAATATAATTTTTTTAGATACACAATAAATATATGTATGTATCTTGCATAACTGCACAAACTCATATACACAGTAAACGCGGTGAGGCATGCGACATGTGCAACCATATACCTGGCCCCAACATGCCTGGCTGCCCTGTATGTCAATCACGTGACAAATTTTACAACCAATGATAGACAAGAGTCAACTTTTTTTTTTTTTTAACTCATTCACTTCCATTTATAGACAGCTATATCAATACCATAAAACTGTGAGGGCTGGCACATTGAGTGAATACCATGAGAGTTACAGACACTCGCTTCTGAAGCTGCAGGCAGCACAGGATCCATTAAATGGGGACCTCTATTTTAGACCAATATGTAGGTACAGAACTTACCCAACCAGTAGCCTCAAACATTTTGAGGTCCAGTGGGTCTCCAGACAACCGGCCCTCTATTTTGGTGAGAGAATGGCACGAAGCCATGCAAGCAACAAACTGGGACTTCACTAGATTTTCTTTGGAGGCTTTTTCATCTGATTGCTGGAAACTGAAAAGGTCAATAACAAGGAGGATCAGATTAATGTTGGCAAAAACACATTTAGAATTTAGATTGAATCTGAAGAGAATAAATACTACCTCTGAAAAAAATAAACACATACACACACACGCGCACACACACGCACACAGGTCATGCCACGGCACCTCAATCAGGTCAAGACTTTGCATATAAACTTGTATAAAGCTGGAAAAGTTTACATCAGTATCTTTAAAAGTCTTGATATACCTCAGTCCGCAGTTGGACAACGTGTCGATAAATTTTCCATGGAACTTTCCAAGGAGTTGGCATCCTGTAAAGATGACTCCAAGAGCACGCCACAGAATGTTCAATGAGGTAACCCCCCCCCCCAAAAAAACTAATAATTTTTTAAAAAAGCGAGAACCTACAGAAATCTACAGCGTTTCTTGAAACATCCACCATACATAAAACAAACAAGAATGGGGCTGATGGGAGAACACCAAGGGAGATGCTGTTGCTATCTACATTGGACGTCCCACAGCAATACCGGAAAACTATTTTGTGAAAGATGATGTCAAAGTTGAATTGGGAGAACACAATGCCATGTCTGAACCTTATCCCAACAGTAAAGAACGGTAGAGGGAGAATCGTGACATTGGCGTGCTTTGCTTACACAGGGCCTGGGAGAGCTTGCTGTCATCAATGGAAAAATGAATTTACAAGTTTATCAAGATATTTTGCTGAAGAACTTAGGCCATTTGTGCAAAAGCTGAAGCTCAAAAGAGGATGGGTGTTGCAAACAGGCCAATGATCCAAAACACAGAAGCTAATCAACAATAGAATAGCTTCATAAAAAGAAAATATATGTTCTGGAGTGGGCTGAGTCTAAGTCCTGACCTCAACGCGTTCAAAATGCTGTAACATGACCTCATGAGAGACACACTTTATACAGCAGGCACACCAAGCATCTTGATAACGTTTCAACAGTTTCGTAAAGAGGAATGGTCCAAAGTTTAACCTGCAAATACACGGTTTGGTTAATGTTATTGTTGCTCAAGGAGGGCCAACCTGTTTATTTATCTGTCATTAATCCAAGGGTTCACTTAATTTTTCCTCCCCGTCCTGTGAATATTTACATGTTATTCACTATACAAATGTGAAAACATAACTGTTTGTGTGGTGTTAGTTTAAGCAGATTCTGTTAAGTTTATTCTTTGCAACTTAGGTAGCCTTCAGATAACATTTCCGAAGCAATTTATGTCAAAACATAAAATATTCTCAAGAGTTCCCCTCATTTTTCATCCCACTGTAACAATTACTCATCGCTAATGTTAAAGTAAAATGTATTGTTGGTAACCAGAATGGGTGCATGTTTAAATAGGTTTGCGCAGAATAATGTAACCTTACCTCCCATTCTCTACTCTTTGGACTCCCCATAGATCTAAACCATCTTCAGTCAGAGTTCCTGTCTGGCACAAGAGTGAGGTACATATAATCCACCTTTAATATTTTTACAACATAAACGATAAGTAAATGTAATAAAATAATTATTCAGAAAAGAGTTGCTGCCTGGCAGACTACGTTTAGGTTTTTAATAACTCACAGCCAGAGATAAAAAGACATGATGAAATGACAGAAACAAATACAATTAGGCTGACTATTTTGCTTGTCGACTAATCATGAACAGTTGTCACGATTCGTCGATTAATCGGCTCTTATTTAAATTCCTTGATATCACACCAGCAAGCAGTTGCTGTTATTTAACCATTGTTATCTCACAGCTTGCATTATTTAAGGTATGTACAAATTAACAGTAAAGACAAATAAAATAATTGTACTTTAAACTTTTACTCAACTTTGCAGCTTGCACCAGCATTCCTAACGAGTATATGAATGATGGGGCAACTTAAATTGGAGGAGAGACTGTCATGTGGCCTTAAATTTTTAGCTGTAAATGTTAAGTGCATTTTTAAAATGGAACCAAAAACTACACACTGTGCTGAGTTACACTAATACTATGAAACTATAAGAACAACAAGAAATATTTGGATACCAAGATTTTTTTTTTATGGAGAAGGAAATGACATCAGATGGATAAAATTGGGAAAATGCACTGTGCTAAAGAAAACTAAAACACCTGTATTAGTTTTAAAAGGGGAAGTCAACCTAAAAATGTCCTTTACAATAACATGTTATATGCACCTCCACTAGTCTAAAAACGGGTATCTGATTGATAATGCTTTTGTGGAATATGAGTTAAACAGTAAAATCCACCCGTTTTTGTCCATCCAAGGGGCGGCCATTTTGCCACTTGAAGTCGACTGTATACGACATCACAGTTGCATGGAGCTCAGGTAACCAATCAATCATGGCTCAGCTTCAGAAAACAGGTTAGCTGTGATTGGTTGGACATTACATTGCATCAAAAACACAGTAGCCTGCGTGTGGTAATGCTAACTTCAAGAGACAACTGTCCTTATGTGTGTAAGAAAATGATACCACACATCAGCCACAACATGCTTCGTTCTTATTTATTTTATTTTATATATATATATATATAAATAAATTTTATATATTTAGTTTTGCACGATAGTAAGAATTTTTGATGAAATGTGCCATAACGTTCGAACTCTGTTGCCAACACGGATTAGACATGACACTAATGCCATGTGTGTCATAGACATGGCATACAGCAAATGAGAGGAGAAGGAAACAAGGCAGCTTCAAGAGACAAACACAGGGCCAAAGAAATAAATGCATAAAATACTGACTACTAATTGACAAATTTGATCAGCAACGTCATCATGACTAGTCGACTAATCTTGGCACCCATAAACACACACAAAAAAAAAAAGTTTCACTTTACAAAGCATTTATCACTTAGCTTGGTGCTCACCTTATCAAAGCAGACCAGATTGATCTGCCCACAAATATTAATCCTTTGTGGGCTGATGCAAAAAATGCCAATATTTTTAAGGCGTCGTTGGGCATACACAATACCAGCCGTCATGGCTGCGGGCAGCGCTGGGGGAACTGTGATGGTAATGATGTCTAGGGATTCAATGATGATGGTCTGGGCTGACACCTGGGAAGCCAGAAAAGATTCATTTAACAACTACTGCTTGGTACAAAACACATTATCTTGCAACTATTGAGAGGGCCATTGAAGTGAAAGCATTAAGTAATCCAAAATAGTCTAGTAATTAAACAGTTTTGTTTAAAAAAAATTAAATATTATTTGTAGATGCTTTTCTTTCTCTTAATTTCAAGGAGACATCCCATTAAGATTTCGTCACGTCGGGTGGACTAAATGAACTGTCTGTATGGTTGAATTATATTTATTATCATCCTGTATGCAGTATGTTAAAAGTGGCCAGTTTCCACTTTATATCTGTTCCTTGTTCTACCTCAAACCCAGAGTGTTTGGTGACATGTTTTTCACTTGAAAAGTAATGACAATGCAATCTATTATTATTATTAAATAAATCTGCCCAGGAGTGACAAACAGAATATGGATGTTGCTTATTTTGTAACCACAGTGTTCCAGTGTTTTGGTTTTGCAGATCATTTCCTAAAATATTTCTTACTTCAATAGTACATTAGTTTGCTTTATAACTGGCCGTTTTAGGTTGTTTTTAATGCCCGCTGGAAAGCAACTCTCAAACCGCGGAATGAAGATTTGCTCTTCAAAGATTCAGGATTCCCGAGGGAATTACAGTATTTAGCAACTGCAGCATTTAATTTTTTTTTTCCATCTAAATTTTTTTGTTTGATCGAAGTTGCTTTAGAGTTCGCCACCTTTGCCATGTTTACAAAGATTACCTTGTTCATGATGCTAAGGGCGATGGAGTAGAAAAAGCCAATCCCAGCCACACCCACCAGACACAACAGAAAAAGGTAGGCATCACGGTACAACTTGAAGTCTGTGGGTTTGGGATATAGAATGGAGCGTACCAACTGGCCTTTGGCTGTGCTGAAGCCTAGGTGAGATAAGTTTATGGTTTTGAAAAAGTCAATTGACACTTAAAGTGTTATCAGCATAGGATGAATCACACGTTCAAAATACAAAAACTATGTCAAAGGCATTATGGATTCATCAGTGGTTAGTTTAAAGACGTGTGAGACAACAGTTTTTTAAAAAGCATGTTTTTTTTGGGTGGAAACAAAAAGTAGGAATACACTTGAGAGACACGTCTACCTGTGCGGACAACTACAGCTTTGACCAGTTCACCAGTGTAAAAACGTGTCTGGATGACGTTAGTGCCACAGAAGAGTGTGTGTCTCTTATGCTCCTCAATGCTATAGGCACTCAAAGACTCATCGCCACTTTCCCCTGGCAACTGGTTTGGAAGGTTGGTCTTTGTCACTGGAACACTTTCACCTGTTGAAAGGTAGCCCGATATTAGCGCATGGAATTTTGCAAGCCACTTTTAAAATATCAGATAGCTTTTCTGACCTGTCAGCATGCTTTCATTGACAATGCAGGTGCCGCTGACCAGCACGGCATCGCAGGGCATAATGGTCCCATTGCTGGGGATGACTATCACATCCCCAGGCACCAAATCAGTAGACATAACCTCTTCAATATCTGCCACAAAAGAAAATGCATGTGAGACCCAAATAAGGGAAACTTGAGGAAGATCATGTATGTCCTATGATCAGTGTGAAGCAAAGTGCTTTCCAATGAACTGCACAAGCGAAGTTATTAAACAGTAATACAAAGAATGAAGATCATAATTATATTAAAACCAAAGATTATCCGCTGATATAGGGAAAATTGAAAAAAAAAATTGACAAACCATTCTCGGCTCGGCATACAGATACACGTACAATACTGTGAGCTGCCACCATATCGTGAAGCATGACATATTGCTAGAGAACGGAGAGAAGAAAATACCTTGATAAAAAAAACAAAACACAATGCACAACCATAAAAGCACAATACCTTTAAGTAATGAGGGTAAAGGTGAATGTATGAAATAATAATAATACTAATAATAATAATAATGAAAAAAAATGTGACATTTGTCGCTCAAAATTATTACCAAAAAAAAAAAAAGTCAAAGGCTTGGACAAAAATAATGGTACTTGTTAGTTTTTGAGACATGGTTTGTACCACACTAGCTGTTTTTAATGGCTAAATTTAGGTGTTGTGGCTTTTAATCGGATGTATTTTTTTTTGTCCGGAAATTCTGGTAATTTTTTTCCCAATTTGATAAGCTCGTTGACATAGTCCAAAGTTTCATAACCTGTATTAGGCACACTTGCTGTACTTGGATTGAGTTTGGCACAATGGTTATGTGCTATAGTATCTCAACATGCTTACCTTTTTGATGGTATAGAGAGAGGTAGCTATGGATATAACTGACATGATAACAATGGCAATGGCGTAATAGTAATATTCATCGGCACTCCACAGTATCACACTGAAGAGTTGGAAGATATAGAAAGGATTTAGGACCTATAAAAGAAGAAAGTGATAGAGGTCAGATGGACTAATGCTGGAATGAGAAAACAATTGAAATTTTGAATCTGGACATTTTATAAAAATGGTTTATAACATGTTTTTTAAACATCCTCATGAGTCCTACCTCTTTGATAAGCAGCTTGAAAACAGAAGGCACTTTCACTTCAATTTCATTCAATCCAAAAAACAGTCTCCTAAAAAATAAAAATGAATGAAGAAACAAATTTAAGTGAAACCATTCTAATGCCCATATTGTCATCAATCAGAATGATGATTATGATATACTGGCAAATAAAGTAAGGCCAAACTCTCTATCTGTATTTATATTTACTGACCCATGATGTTTTTGGTCAGCTAAAAGTGTGACTAGCTGATGTAAAATGCCTAAAATCTCACGTTGCCATTGTTGCTAACAACTTCTTTGGTTTTCGTTGAAAACACTTATCAGTCCATGTTTTACACCAGGATCCCTGTATGGAGTATTGAGAGCTTCTCAAAGAATGAACTCCACAGTCTGCATCGACAATATCAGCAAATACTCCACCACTTGAACCATGACTTACATAGGTTAGGTTAGGTTTCCTGTCACACCAATGGAGTAAGACTGTGTGTGTGTGTGTGTGTGTGGGGGGGGGGGGTACTGTAACATGCAGATGACCTAGCTGTGATGTCACCTTATAGTGCTGGTCGACAGAGTAAGACTGTGTGTGTGTGTGTGTGTGTGGGGGGGGGGGGTACTGTAACATGCAGATGACCTAGCTGTGATGTCACCTTATAGTGCTGGTCGACAGCAACTGCTTCAAGTATGTGCCGAGTATGGAGCGCAATATGACATCCGATATAACCCTTAGAAGAGTGTGACAGTGATGGGCAAAAACTAAGGAGGATCAAATGTGAATGTTTGCTTCTTTCTATCTGTCCAAACAACATTGTAACCAAGGTTAAATACCTGGGCCATATTATCCGAGATGATGATGATCATGATGTGCAACACCAGTGTTGTCAGCTATATGCACAAGGAAATATGCTCCCTCACAAATTTAATAGGTGTTCGTTCTAATGCCGTCAAAATTGAACATTTTAGAGCTTATTGTACACCTTTGTATTCACCACATCTTCGGCACAACTATAGCAAAGGGAAAATGAATAAGATTAAAGTTGCATATAATGATGCTCTCTGAATCCTTTTAAAATATCCTTGATGGGAGGGGGCAAGAGTTTTTGTTTGTTACTTCGGATGTTCCCACTTTTCATGCACTGTTCAGAAATTTTAGTTACAAATTAATGTGGAGAAACAAACATGGAATTACGGTGTTACTGTCTCTGTTAAGATCCACAAATTACATCCTCCAGGATGACACAAGTAGCAAATCAACATGTATATTAAAATAAGTACACATTTTTGCAAAAAAAATCTCATTCCGACTGCTATCGTAGCTTGATACAGTAGATCTTTACATACGTCATATCAAATTTGGCTGACAACTTTCACGGAGAAACTGAATGAAATTGTTAGAAATGTTCACAAGGAACATCTATACTCATTCTGACAGAAAATTTCATGGCGCGCCGGATCTGGCCCTCAGGCCTTGAGTTTGACACCTTTGCCATCGTATAGTGTTGCGCAATGGTCTGCAGAAGATTTATGAAGCAATTTAAAAATGAAACAGGGCTGTTGCTCAGAAGCACCTTCAATCCATAATTGTTCTTTGAACAAAGTGCAGATTTACATTGTTTTTTGTAGAATGTCAACAAATTATTGTTAGAACTTTTTGAAAAAAATAAGATACAATACAGGCCACCCCAAGGTTAGATACATTAAATAGGCTTGTTTTGTTCAAATTGATTGAGCGTGTTAGTTAAAAATAGACTATCTTGACATGATACGTCCTTTAAGAAGCAAAATGCCATTTGATGAATGGTCAAGAGACAACCACCAAAAATGTAATTATGTCACCCAAATACTACCTGTAGTCTTGCTGGTTCCTGGTTAGGCCTTTGCTGTGCTCGGAGTGGAGAGTGGCAGCAGTAACATTGAGATCTTCCAGGCCACTGTTGGACAAAGTCACAGCAGTCTACAAAGTTGACTACATGGTATAGCTTCACAGGGAGGGCACTCAAAAAACTGTCATGTTAAAAATGTTATTTAACAAAGATGCAGATTACATTTTGTGGCATTGTGCACACTGTGGTGCAAAAAAATAAATCCAACCAATTTTGATGACTCCACAGATCGCAAACAAAGAAAACATATACTACTTACGTTAAAACTTCAAAGTTCTGCGCTCTGTCATTCCAGTAATATTTTGTGCTGTGGAGTGTAAAATAACGCATCTGAAAGACACAAAGGACAAAATTCTGTTTGAAGGACATGTAACGTCACTTAGTACATTTAAATGTCAACGATTTGGATGAGTGATTTTATATCCATGAGGTCTTCAGGTTTTAATCATGAGTGGAGTGCACAGAAAAGACAAGTGTTCTTCCTACCTTTGTGGGCTGGTATTCCACGTATCTTCTGATGAGCTCCCGAGCGGTGATCCCATCAGAAGATTGGCGTGTGTCTCCATTGGCCATACATGGGGAGGAAGAAGAGAAGGGACAGGAAGGGGAGGAGGGGGAAGAAGGGGAGGTGGTCTGGGTCTCCAGGTTGTAGAAGGGGTTGCTTCCTGGGGCTAGAATCACTCGAACTTTAGCCAGGAACCAGCGCCGGAATTCATCCTGGCCAAAAGTACAATTTCAATTGACAAAATGAGAGCATATCTAAGGCTAGATGTCATGAGTGCAATGCTGTACACATGAAAAATAAGTGAGTTTATGCAGGTTTGTCAAGTCTAAAATTCCTCAATCTTATGTCTGGATCTACACAAAATCATTGTTTATTTTCTCAGGAACTACCACTGTCTTCTCCAAAGTTTCCTGGAGGATGATTTTTTACAGAATACTAATCCCTGTTTTCTCAGATAAATTAATTTCCTTTTTAGTTCATTTTAATGTGACATGAACAAGACTCCTTTTTATGACTCCGCTAAGGCAACAAATGGCTTCTACTTCTGTAAATTACCTAATTATTGCTGTAATGTGTTAGTGTACAATGTTTAATGAAAATGAAATACAACACATGGCAGAAATTATGTAATCGCCATTTCTAGGCTATGATAATTTAAATGTTTAATTTGGGAGAAAAAAAAAGCAACTCATGGATGTTCCCCAGAAAAAAAAAATTACACACACACACACACACACACACACACACACACACACACACACACACACACACATACACACACACACACACGAAACATCCAAGCTCCGTGAATCCGTCAAGGAGAAGACTCCAACGGATGACGTACTCAGAGAATGCCTCAGACAATGGGGAACAGAGGATGAGGTGCTGGAAGAGGGACCATCATGGGAGGACAAGCCCCTACACGG